TAATAAATTTGTTAGTCTCTAAGGTGCCACAAGTCCTCCTGTTCTTCTTTTTGCGGATACAGACTAACACGGCTGCTACTCTGAAATCATTCTAGGATAGTGTGAATAGTATCTGGAACAGCTGAAGAGCCATTTGGTCAGATAAGTGGCACTCACCTTTGGTTATAATAATCATGTTTAAAACTTCTCTTCAATACCATGGCGCATATATATATATAAAATCATACTGATAGGGCATCTTCATAATCCAGACTGGTTAAGTAGTAGCTGAGAGGTCACAAAATTATGCATTCTGGAACAACCAGCAGAGAGGAGCCATGTAGCTCAACTTTGGTGGCAGGGAACATTATTAAGAAATATTACATTAATTAATCACTCAGAACTTATGTCTCCTTTGCTAGTTGAGCCATTCAGATATCACGTATTTATTCTAAACATTTATTAATATGAAATATCTGCGCACATACTAGCAATTCATAGAATAAAATGGGTGCCTACCCTAAAAAGCTAACAATCTAAGTAAGCCAAACAGAGTAAAATCATGGCCCCATAGAACTCAATGGGAAAACACCTATTGACCACAATAGGGTAAGGATTTTACCCCACGAGGACCATGGAAAGAGATGTAACCTACAACTGTGACAGTTTTGTTAGCTCTATTTATTAGTTTTTATTCCTTTTCCCTCCTTCATTTATGTCCCGTTATCTGATCCCTCTTGCCATTTATCCGGATAAATGTTTACCTGTTGTCTTTAAGAATGAACGCTTGGAGATACACATCTACCCTGATATAACACGACCTGCTATAACACAAATTCGGATATAACGCGGTAAAGCAGCGCTCATGAGGGGCGGGGCTGCGTGCTCTGGCGGATCAAAGCAAGTTCGATATAACACGGTTTCACCTATAACACAGTAAGATTTTTTGTCTCCCGAGGACAGCGTTATATCGGGGTAGAGGTATATTGAGGCTGATGAGAGAAGAACAATGTTTTCCATATTTGCAGCTAAAGCTGGTTGAATTTTTTTTGCAAATTTTTAATGGAAAAATGGGTTCAAATGTTGTAAGCATTTCTGTAAAAACTGCAACTTTTTTTTATTGTTTAAAAGTTGGGTTTGGGGTTTTTTGGACAAAACATTTAAAACCAAAAAATATTTGGATTGTTTCAAAATGAATCTTTTTATTCCATCAAATTGAATGAAATCAAAATGATCATTTTTCAGTTTTCTAGGTTTTTCACTCCTTTCTTTCCATTTCTCTGACCATTTCTTTTCCTATGGGAAAGAGACAGAAGGGGAAATGGAAACCCTTCCCCCAAAATGCAATTTGATTCTGTCAGGAATATGGACCTGCAGCAGAGCCAGTCTCTGGACAACCTAAGGAGCACAGCTGGCCTGTAGTAGGCTGCCTGATTGGTTAGAAGAGTCAGCAGACAGGCTGTTAAGCTCAGGAGAAGTGACAGTGCACTGGCTGCCCAAAGCATTTGCCCCTTGGCTGAGAGAGCTTGTGTGGCTGCCTTGTTCCAGCTCTGCTCATGCCTTGTCTCATTTCAGGTAAGCTGGGCCTGACCCTAGACTCTGATTCCAGCTGTGTCCCTTGGGTCTGGCACCTGGCCCTGATTCCTGGCAACTTGCACCTGCTCTGACCATTAGGCATGACCAGGGCTGACGAGAGGGGGGAAGCCCGTACAAATTACCGGGGCCCGACGGTCCACAAGGGGGCCCGGGGCCCGGCTTCCCCTCCCCCCCCTCGTCGGCCCTGTTTAGCCAGTCTGTCCTTGCTGGAGGGACCGAAAAAATTCCGGGCCCGGCTTCCCCCCCCCTTGTCAGCCCTGTTTAGCCAGTCCACCCTTGCTGGGGGGGGCCCGAAAAAAAATTTTTCACTGGGGCCCGAACCCGCTCTCGGTGGCTCTGGGCATGACTCCTGCTTGAACCACTAGGCGTTACAGCCCACGTCCCTGTCATGTGATACTATTCAATTTGGATAAAATACAATGTATTTTTAATTGTTGCATGGAAAAATCCACAAAAACGTTAAGCAAAACATTTTTTTCAGTTTGTGCCAATTCTTTCAATGTAAAGTAGCTTTCAGTTTTAGACCAACCCTATTTGCAAATGAACACGTAAGTATTTGAAAATATATGCTTGCCATCTTCAGTCGATGAAGAAATCAGTACTGATCCAAGCAGGTCTCCCTTCTCTTGGCTTTAGTTTTTCATACAATAGATTCTGTCACCTATGCTACTATACACAACAAAAACAAGGCATGCTATGCGATGACCCAGCTGGCATAGCACAGATCACTTTGCACATTAGTAACTTCTCTTGGTCAAACTGAATTAGCCTACATGATAGAGTGGGTGCACTTTGATGGGATAATCCTGAGAAGATTAACCTACAGTTCTAAAGCCCAGTTTCACCCTTGGGATACAAATAACTCCTTTTGACTTTAATGAGCATTACTGCGTTGCCGTAGCAGAACGGTAAGGGCCCAGCTGTCTTTAGATTTCCTGCCCTGAAGTGTGAATTCTGTTGTATAACAGTGAGATCTTATAAACCAAACAAACCTCCCATTTCCTTCAGGATAGCTGGATATTTAAGGCTCCTGCATTATATTCTAGATACAGAGAATAGTTTAATTTTAGAAGAGTTTGGGAAAGAAGCTGCTGGAAAGGTGCCATTCATTTATTCTTTAAAATGATTGTATTCGTGGAATATCATTGTTCTACTTTTCATCTGTCATTATGGTCAATGATTTTATTTTTTTAATCCTGATTGCTAGTATTCTGAAAATCAGATGCCATAGTGAATTCTGGTCAACAGACAGCTTCTGCTTTTTTTTCTCTAGAAGCTAAATCATTCAAGAACAAAATGAAATACAGTTAAATGAAATCTTACTCTAAATTCCAAGTGGCTTCACAAAAAGAATTTTTCATGACCAAAGTGGTTGCCTGAAGCCTAAGCTAATCATTATCTGAAATGAAAGCGTAGTTAGTCCCTTTCTTGTTGAGATGGGAATTCGTTAGTACTATTAATGGATCTTGCTGCCTACTTAACTTATTTAGTTAAAACGATAAACTCATTTAATTGCTTTCCTTAATACATGAATGTGTGACAGTCCCAGTTTCAAAGTATTCAAAAGAAGTAAAATTCTGGTTAAATAGATTACATGTTGGTAGAGTTGTTATAGTAACAGATGTACCATATATTGTGACCATTTAAACCTATATATCACAATAAAAGAGGTTAGAACTCGAACATGGAAGAAACATAACCCCAGTGGATAGGAACTTGCTAATAACAGCATTGTCAACAACCACACAAAGAAGGATTCTGCAGTCCCAGGACCTTTATTTTTTGTTTTTAACTTGACTTATTTTGGTTGTTTTCTAGGACTTAGCTCTAAGCTTGTCACATTATTTAAAACATAACACTCAATGCACTACTTAAATGTTACCATACAATAGCAAAACAAATCCACCTTACAACCCCCGTTGCAAGCCCACTGAGATCCTTTAGCCCTGAGTCTGTCCATCTTTCTCTGCCCCAAATGCTCTTGAAAAGATGAGCTTTGCACAGTGCCGGGAAGGCTAATGAATCCGAGCCCTGAAGGTTTAACCAAAGCAATTGGAAATGAACAGCAACAAAATGGGCCAGACCTTCAGCTGGTGTAAATCAGCACAGCTCCGTTAAACGCAATGCCAATTTACACCAATAGAGGATTTGGCCACTTGAGTGTCTGTTGTGACCTAACATTGTATTTGCAACAACAACAAAAAAGTGTCACATTAGCAATTGCTGCCATCTTGATATTACTTGGTACCATTCTTCCCAGCTACAGCCTCATCCTCCCCTTGCACATGAACTTACCTTTATGCATCTGAGTAGTCCCACTGTTTAAGACTTTATCTTTTAAATATGGAAATGCTTATTTGGTATCCGCAATAAACAGCATGTGTTCAAATGTAAAACAAAACTAGTTTGTGAGATTGGTCCTGATCGTCCAAGGCAGAAGATAGAGAGGAAAAGTTGCCCTCAATTATGCCCTCTGGGGGAAGATGCAACAAAGGGGGGGGGACGTATGGGGAAGGGAAGGGATCTCAGGGAATTTTCCCGACTGGAAACAAACAAACCCTAAAATGGTTAAAGAAAACATTTCCCTCTTTATATTACTTGGCTTGCACAAGCATGTTCATAACTGACACAATAGCATGAAGGGGACATTGTTGCTCTAGCAATGACAGATCTGAGTGATGAGCCTAACCAAAGTATACATGGCATGAAAGAAGTTGCATCCTTCATTACACATTTTATTTTCATTCTGCAGAGTCTGATCCTGATGATTTTTCTCTTTCCATAAAATGTAGAGGCTTATTTAGCTGATCGCAACTGGTATGAGGTCAAGGGATCTTAGGGGGCTGATTAGCATGGGGAATCTACCTTTGTTTTAACCAGAATAACTCTAGTAATTAAACAACTGTCCTGGTGACAGTGTATAGCTTCCTCACTGTGTTCTTTCAGGCAGTTCCTTTTTTCGTTGTTGTCCATCTTAGCTTTAGAGTGACAGCCTTGCCTGAGATGTAAATTAGATGCAAAGGAAGCACAGAATAATTTCTAAATCCCTGACTGGCAAGAAGAGCGAGGATGCAATGGGTAAGAAGTTTTGAGGGCCATGACATTGAGAATCTTCAGGGGCCTCTGTCAGTTCTTTGCAGTGTTAGCTCATAAGACTGCAGATCTGGCCATTTTAGACTTTAGTCTGGAGTCTGGTCCAAATGGTATAGAATAAGACCAATAGACAGAAATGTCTCTGCTTGATGCATGGGGAAACTAAGTAATGTAATCTCTGATTTTATTCTACTCTATCTAGGCCCTTATATGGCATCCATCATTGTCTTGTCTGAAAACGTAAAGAGAACATGAGCGATTTTCACAGATCATCGGTGAACAAAAGTGACTCTTGAGAACCTCTGTACTGCTACAAACACATAGTGTAGTTAGAGCTAGTCTGCATGATGCTGGAAGCACACAAATATCTGGCCCTCTTAGTAGCAGATATACGGCAATGTAAGCGCTGAGGGTGCAATCACTAGCTTCCTCTATCCACTTGTTGCCATAAATGAATATGTTTTTAACAGCGTCTCACTGTGGCAAGGCCAGAATCCAAGAGAGATAGGAACAGGGGATGGTAGGTTGGTTTCCCTCTCATCTATAAGAGGTTTTTTCGTTATTGTTGGGTCTAAGAGACCTTGGACCTTGCATGATTTTTTTTTCCAGACAGGTGGAAAGTGTTGTGTCAAGGTGTGTGTGTGTGGGGGCGGGGGGACTGCAAAATTCAAGTCAAAACAAGTTGACTTCTCACAACGTTTTCAAAAATATGATTTATTTTCCCCCACCCCCCTTCCTTCTCATAACCTCCATTGGTTTTAACAGCAGTGGAATTGTTTTCGACACTTCTATTACTGACCTTGCAGATGTCCCAAGGCAATCTGTGCTTAAAGTGTTAATGCTCCCCCTACACACAGACCCATAGTCAATCCAAACCCTTCAGGATGTCCTTCTCTTGATAATGCCCGCATAAATATGATGGTTTGAGGCAGAAGAAAAATTGCAGGATACCAGCTAGAGCATCTAAATGCTGCCTCATCATACAAAGGCACTTTATATTGTTCTCATACATCCTGGCAGCCATTTTACAAATGCCAAAGGGCACTTAGTGCTGGATACAGAGACAGGAAGGAGAGATAAGAAAGAAGTGCCTATTATTTCTTACCAAAATGAATCTGCATCTCTAATGGGATACAATGCCAGGCTTATTACAACTAACCAGTCAGTCAGTGCTGAAGGAGAAAAGGCTGTATGTGGGATGGCAAGGGGATACAAAGACTGGGAGAGATTAAAGAATGAGGACTCAGATTCACAGAGTGTTCTGGTCACATTTTCTTTGGAAATACTTCATTTCAGCACCACATCGGAGAAGATCACCTGAAACTTTATTGATCAACACAGCGGGAAGAGACTACTTCATTGTACAAAGAAGTTTCCATAGATGACAGTCATCAGCTAGTCCTTTCAGATTTCAATTCAATAAGATATAATGGCCATGTATGTTTTATTGTGCATATTTTGGGCTGAACTAATCCTTGCTGAAACTCCACTAGGTCAATGGAGTTACACCCAGGATTGAGTTAGCTGATTTTGCTTCAGTGCGGCAAAACACTGTACCTGCTTCATTATCTAAAACGAATTAGCTAGGGCTACCTGCCTCCTGGTGCAGTAATGTGTAAAATAATGCAGCTCGTCTGCTTGCCCTAGAGCCATATCCTGGATTTTGGACAACATTAAATTGCAGCAATAATTCTTGTACTGGAATGCAACAACAATGCAATAAAGTTGGCATTTTAAAAAGCATTTAAAGCTCACCATTTAGTGACACCCCCAATCCCGACAGGCAACAGGTGTCCTCTATGTATTACTGACAACATTTCTCTCAAGCTCATCCCATCTTTAGATGGGTGTTTCTGGGTTTCCAGTTGTCCCAGACCCTACTGATATTTTCTCCTGATCCAACCAAAGAAGCAAAGCAGCCAACAGACACAGCTCTGGTAAGAATTTCTTCCCTTCCACAATATCATTGGCCTTTTCTCCACAGTCCATGTCTCCGCCTCAAACAGCTGGTTAAAACAGCTGCACTTGTTTCAGGGGTGAAGGAATTCATTTTGAAGGGTTTTTTCTTTCTTACATTTGATCCTTCAGATCAAGAAAGTTCAGACAAAACCTTTGTCATAAAAAAAAATGTATTTTGAAAGTCTCTCTTACATTCGATTCTTAAGATGGGAAAAGATTCCAGAAACTTTTGGGGGAGTGAAATAATAGATTTTGAAATGTTTCCCAGTCTCATATTTGTTTCCTAAAACAGTGCCAGCCTGAAGTATGAGCCAGCATGGCCCTAAAGTTTCAGTTGGCCCAGGGCTGGCTCTGGCTTTCTGGCCGCCCCAAGCAAAAAAAAAATAAAATAAATAAAAAAAAAAAAAACTGCGGTGGCCAGAACAGCAAAGCCAGGGTGCAGGGGGACTCCCTGCCCTGCAGATGTGCCCCGGCTAGCGGGGAGAGGGGGAGGGAGCGGAGGGAGAGAGAGAAGGGGGGCGGCCAGGGCTTCAGCAGGGTGCTGCCACGCAGCCCCTCCCGCCGTGCCCCCTGTGGGAGGGCTCCGGTCGGCTGGGAGGGAAGGACGCGGGCTGCAGGGCACTCCCGTCCTCCACGAGCCGCTGCCCCCTACAGAGCGGCCGGAGCAGAACAAAAAAAACCAAAAACGGCCGTGCCGCTGTAGGATTGGGCGGAATGCCGCCTCCTACAAGCTGCCACCCCAAGCACCAGCTTGCTCGGCTGGTGCCTGGAGCCGGCCCTGAGTCGGTCTTACAGTGGGGTACAGAGCGTTCTGATCTGCAGTGTTGAGATTCTCAGAATAGTGGCCACAGCCCTGTCAGAGGCAGCCATCTTCTCAACCAGACCCTATCAGGTAAGACCAGTTTATACTTCATACTGACTCGCTCCATTTTTTTACCAGGACATTCAGGAGCTAAAACTTTGAGGTCAAAGACATTTATTCCACCCCATCAGGTCTCCAGGTAGGTAAACAAGACAAGGAACCTCTTCTGTTTCTTTCACTAAATGTGAGTTCTAAGGAAAGCCACGCTAAGGTAAAACATGTTTCTTCCTATAGCCCCTCACCATGGAGATAGGTCCTCTTCCTATAATCAGGAGAGGTTTACCCAGCTGCCTTCTTCTTATGAGGCTAAGGAGGATTCTTCTGCAACCAAGGCAGTGACACAAAGATGCTGCTGCTTATTTAATTGGGCAAGTCTGTAGAACTCTATTTAAGTTCCTTAAATGCCAGAAACTTCTTGGGAACGCTCATCAGGGGAATGTTACAATACCAGGCTTGAGCTTTCCAGACATCAGTCCCGAGAAACATCTCCTCGGCTGTGTGTAAGTAGAAGGAAGACCCACAGCACAGCCAATTGCTTGAATTTACGGGAATGAGGCTGTCCTTCCTACAGTTTGTATAGCAGTATCTATTTGTCATTTAAAATGGGAACCTTCCTTTTCTAGCCTTTGTTTAGCTCTGATACTAGAGAGAGGCAATTTGATATTCCTTTGATTTGTGGAGAGCACATAAATGTTACAATAATACATAGCACTTCACATATTCAAAGCACCTTGCAAACTTTATGTACTAGGTACTATCATAATGGTACTTTAGCTTCTGTAGATCCTGTATTCAGCCAGAGTTCTCAGAACACAGTGGCTGCTAAGTAAATCTGATGGCAGCCTGCAATTTTTATCTAATGTGTTTATTTCCCCACTAATACTACAAAGCTACACAGAGCCTATTAGGCTAAACTGGTGGCATCAGGCATCCTACTAGAAAGAAAAATTGTACTTAGTTTCTGGGAGTTAAAAGCTATAGATCTGGAAGACTTGCGTCTCCCCTCCAAGTTGGATGGATTTTTCTAGTAATCAAGAGCTGTATTAGTTTGCAATATTTGTTTTATCGTTTATAAAGATTCTGGTGCTTCCAAGTTTCTACAGTTCTCCTTCATGTCTTCTTGTAGTGTTCTACAAGATTAAAGGAGCTTCCTTTTTACTTGGGATTAACTGAGGCTGCTCATTGGGCAAAGGAAACGCCTGTGATGTCACAGAACCTTATCACATCCCAACAAGTCTATGCCTTTTTACTACTCCCTCTAATTAGTTGATGCAGCAGCATGCTTCCCAAAACCCCATAATTCCAGGCTAGTGCTTGTAATGCCAGAACCCGAATGACCAGATAACCCTTTTCTTTCAGGACACTGAAATGCTCACTAATTTGTTCAAAAAATCAAGCCAAGCAGTGACATTCTGTAGACAAATCAATGGGATTTTTAGTATTTATTTCAACAAGGATCTGGACTTCTGCAAGTTGATCATCTCATCAGTCACAAAAAACAAACACCAGCTCCCCCCTCTCACAAAAATGTCTCCCTACCCGATATATTCATACCCAAAGTTATCTCCTTAAACCCCACCTGCACGCTAGGTTGAGGAAGCTTTCATTTAAAAGAAGTCTCTTTTGATTTTTAAATTCCACAGAGCGCATAGAATCTTAATGCACACAAGCAATACAGCAATGTTACAGCTGCAATTAACTGTCCATCTAATGAACCAGCCCCTCTATTCTAGCTTGAAGTCCCACTGAAGTCAATAGAACTTATTTGCATCAACTGAGGATCTGGAATGTTTTACAGTGGTCATGTACTTCTCAGCAAGGTGGACCTGGATTCTGAAGCACTCTAGTGTGGCTGATTGGAAATTTCCCCTGCTCCTAGACACCACATTTCACCCACAACTTCATTCACCAATTGACTCCATTCCCCCTTTCACTCAGCCCTCCCAACCTAACTTATCCACTCCTGGTCTCAGAACCTAAGCCCCCTCAGCTGCTTCCAACCCAAACCCCACCTGCTCAGAAACATGCCCCCCCCCTTCCCACACCTATCTAACTACGGACAGCCGCCTCCTCCACTTAACCACTCCACAGCTCAGAACCCTCTCCTACCCAACACTCTCTCAAGCTCAGAAAAAGCATTCCCAGACTCAGAAACCTTGTCCCTCGTGCCTGACAGCCACCACCTGCAGCTCAGAAATACCCTGTCAGTGTGCTGGGTCTGGAAAAGAAAGAGTACAAGTTGTAGTGACCATGTGTAGACTCTGTATAGGACTCTATACTCTTCTTGTGGAGCTAGCCCCATCAAAACCTGCATTCCCTGTGCTAGCCCTCTTTCCTCTAAAGCTTGCAGTCTATATGCTACAAGTTGGAAATCACCCATTGGCAGATAAGTGTACTGCAAGCTCCACTATATCAGCCACATTACGCTGCTGTGATCTTAGTGGTGGTGCTTAGCCTCGTTAGCCCCTTTTCACCAGTCATCCCTGTTTGGGTGACCATCTTTAGGTTTCAGAGTCAACAACACATTGAAATAAAGAGTCAATTCACACCTTTCAGAATCATTGTTTTGCAAACCCATGAAGACAGCATGACATGAGTTTGCACTCATTTCACATTTTCAATATCATCTTTGTAACCATAAGCACTAGAAACTTTTTATTAAAAAAGGATTCTTTAGATGTTGAAATACAATTACATGGCAAGGGGTGGAGATGGGCATGAGATACCCAGGGCCCTGGAGTTGATTTGGTAATTGCAAGCTCTTTCTGGATCAAAATATACAAGGAGAAAAAGGTAAGGAATCAAAGGGTAGGTCTACACTTACCTCCGGGTCCGGCGGTAAGCAATCGATCTTCTGGGATCGATTTATCGTGTCTTGTCTAGACGCGATAAATCGATCCCAGATCAATCCCGGAAGTGCTCGCCGTCGACGCCGGTACTCCAGCTCGGTGAGAGGAGTACGCAGCATCAACGGGGGAGCCTGCCTGCCGCGTCTGGACCCGCGGTAAGTTCGAACTAAGGTACTTCAAATTCAGCTATGTTATTAATGTAGCTGAATTTGCGTATCTTAGTTCAAAGTGGGGGATTAGTGTGGACCAGGTGTAAGTCTTTCCAGCACTCCATCTCTACTAGCTCAAGGCAGCAAGATTTATTATATTTAACCCACATTACTTTCAACTTTGTTAAAAAAAAATGGCAGTCTTTTATTGAGTGTCTATTATTATTTTACCAAGAATGGCCTGATGTCTATATAATAATGCAATTTCCTAACATTCAAACAGCAAATAAATAAACTATGAGGCCTCTGATTCTTTAGGGTTTTTTCCCCAGGATGTCAGTCTCATTTTCTGTCACTGATTGCAGGAAAAATGCCAGATGTCCAGCAAGTAAATACAGTTGCTCAGGCTGTGCTTGTTAATTACAATCAGTACTGAAGAATTTGGTGGAGACGATGATCTCTTCAACCCGAGAGAGAGAGAGAAAAATCAATCAAAAGGGTTAGACGAAGGATGTGCAGAGAAGGAGTGGGGGGGCTTTTAGCACTGAAAAACTGGCAAAGAATGTTCTTCTGAAGCACTGAAGGACGAGTATCAAAGGATAATTTTCTGAAAGCCTGGCTCCTGAACACCAAAGTTCATATATAGAAGATTGTTACATTTTAACACTATCACTTCCACCTAAATCTTCAAGGAATTGCATGCATAGGATTTAGCTGCATAACTCTTGTGCCTAAATCCCATGCAATTTTGTAAATGTAGGAGATACTCTAATCATTAAATAGCCCAGTGCCACTGCAAAAGTATGTGGAGAGAGTGTTGGAGGTGGTGGTGATCCTAATGGCTGCCACTTATTCCAGGGAAGTACTTTTCTCTTTTGCACCCATGCTTTTCACCAAGGTTTCAGCCATTGCAGGATCTGGCCCATATGGTCCATGTTATTGAATAGCTGAATAATCACAGAATCATAGAACTGGAAGGGACCTCGAGAGGTCATCTAATCCAGTCCCCTGCACTAATGGCAGGACTAAGTATTATCTGGACCATTCCTGACAGGTGTTTGTCTAACCTGCTCTTAAAAATCTCCAATGATGGAGACTCCACATCCTCCCTAGGCAATTTATTCCCGTACTTAACCACCCTGACAGGAAGTTTTTCCTAATGTCCAACCTAAACCTCCCTTGCTGCAATTTAAGGCCACTGATTCTTGTGCTATCCTCAGAGGTTAAGAAGAACAATTTTTCTCCTTGTAACAACCTTTTACATACTTCAAAATTGTTATATGTCCCTTCTTGTCTTCTCTTTTCCAGACTAAACAAACCCAATTTTTTCAGTCTTTCCTCAAAGGTCATGTTTTGTAGACTTTTAATAATTTTTGTTGCTTTTCTCTGGACTCTCTCCAATTTGTCCACATCTTTCCTGAAATGTGGCACCCAGAACTGGACACAATACTTCAGTTGAGGCCTAATCAGCGCAGAATAGTGCGGAAGAATGATTTCTTATGTCTTGCTTACAACACTCCTGCTAATATATTCCAGAATGATGTTCGCTTTTTTTGCAACAGCATTACACTGTTGACTCATATTTAGCTTGTGATCAACTATGACCTCCAAATCACTTTCCGCAGTACTCCTTCCTAGGCTGTCATTTCCCATTTTGTATGTGTGCAACTGATTGTTCCTTCCTAAATGGAGTACTTTGCATTTATCCTTATTGAATTTCATCCTATTTACTTCAGACCATTTCTCCAGTTTGTCCAGATCATTTTGAATTTTAATCTTATCCTCCAAAGCACTTGCAACCCCTCCCAGCTTGGTATCGTCCGCAAAATTTGTAAGTGTACTCTATATGCCATTATCTAAATCATCGATGAAGATATTGAACAGAACTGGACCCAGCACTGATCCCTGCAGTACCCCACTCATTATGCGCTTACAGCATGACTGTGACCCACTGATAACTACTCTCTGGGAACAGTTTTCCAACCAGTTTTGCACCCACATTATAGTGACTTCATCTAGGTTGCATTTCCTAGTTTGTTTATGAGAAGGTCATGTGAGACAGTATCAAAAGCTTTACTGAGGTCAAGATATGCCACATCTACCACTTACCCCCTATCCACAAGGCTTGTTACCATGTCAAA